GGGGCACTACTGGTATCCAGTGGATAAGGCCAGGGACTCTAGTCCACACCCTACAAGACAAAGCAAAGAATTATCTCAACCCGAATGTTAGGAGTGGTGGCTCCTGCTGGACAGTATTCCACCAGGTCACACCAGGTCCGTTCCTCTCTTGTCAGGGACACAGGATGTTTTAGAAGAGCAAACACTGAAAATAGCCTGAAATGTTCACAAGTTACTCTTTGTCTAAATGAGAACATATTATGTCCTTAAGTAACTTCAGATGGACAAAGCTGGCAGTGCCATTTTAACAATTTATATTGTACAAAAGTTGGGTGCAAACTTTTCCATACAATGTATAAGGAGGGGGCAGAGCTGCTTCTGTCTTGTTATGTGAACACCAGGTCTAATGTGATGGGCCTCCCTGGTGGCGCAGGGCTTAAAGTCTCAGCACTATCCAGCTATCGCCAGCCACTGCAGCCAGCACGAGCGAGCGGTACGACGTAGCACAGCCACGAGTTTGATCCTTTGCCAGCTGACCCACATGGCTCAGCAGACCTCTCCTGTCTCGCCAGCTGCTCCCCTCAGCAGTGCATTTCAGAAGATCCACCTGTTCTGTTCCCCACTCTGTCTCTGGTGAATCCTCTCACCCCCTCCCCACACCTCTGGTCTGAACCCCAGTTCTTGTATGTATCAATAAATTTTTTTTTTAAAAAAGGTGTCCCTGAAATAGAACTATCGATAGAATGCAACTGTAACTCATCTAATAGTAATCAAAGCAATTGCAGTGTGCTCTTTTTTGGAGACTCACTGTAGCTGGCTGTAAAGACAGGAACAGGGCACTGAGCAGGTTTTCTGACCCAGCAGACCAGGTAAAGGAGGAGTCAGAGTCCTCAGTGGCTTTTGCAGGTCTTTTATTGGGATTTACCAGGCACACGGCAGGCAGGGGTGCTGGGGGGCCGGGAGGCTGGCAGGCCTTCCAGCCCCCAGCACATCCTCACTCCATCTGGGCTCTCCGGCCTTCTCTCTGCTTCTCCTCTTCTTCTCTCGGCTTCTGCTTGTTCTTGACTTCTGCTGGCGTCCCCGCGACGCCGCCCTTATAAACTCAGTCTCTCAGCCCAGGTGTACCCACGGCAGGTGCCCACCATCAGGCATGCATTCAGGACCACAGGGTTCCCTCATCTGTCCTAATGGCGGGAGGGCAGAAAAGCCTGATACTTTTTCCTTACCCTACACTGGCATTTCTGGCTTTCCCAACATGACCTGACATACAGCATTTTGATGCCACTGCAGGAACACAATTCCGTTCTCATTCCAACCACTTGGAGTTCTTAGTCCCCACTAGGTACAGGGGCGAGGCTGGCTAGTGACAAGATTTCGGGCCAGCTGGTTATAAATCTGGGTCCTGCTCAAGGTGGATCATTCTCCACAACTCAGGAAACTCAGGAAAATGTTATACTTACAGCCACAGTGTTCTTTCAGAGGATACAGATTTGGACCAGCAAATGGCGAGACACGGGGAGACCTGGGAGGGTCCCCAAAGTGCAGCTTCCCTGACCTCTGGCCTAGGACTGACACCTCTCTCTTCCAGCAGATCAGCATGACCACCACCAGGAGGCGCCACTGAGTTTCCAGGAGGGCTTCATGGACACCTTTTTTCAAAAAAAGATTTATTGATGCATACAAGAACTGGGGTGTGTGTGAGGGAGAGGACTCACCAGAGACAGTGGGGAGGTAGATATACTGAAACAGAACAGGTAGACATACTGACAGAACAGGCAGATCTACTGAAATACACTGCTGAGGGGAGCAGCGGGCGAGGCAGGAGAGGTCTGCTGCAGCGTGTGGGTCAGCTGGCTTAAAAGGTCCCCATCATTGAAAAAAATCTCCAGTCTCTTTCCCGTCCTTGGAGGTGGGTCTAGCTCAAAGTCTTGACCCTAATACACTGGAGATCTTTCTGGTCACAGTTCCCACCCTGAAGCTATCCAGGAGTCTTCTCATTCACATAAACTCAGGTTCAGCTGCGAAGCTCATGAAAAACCAGGGTACTTCTGTGACGAGCAATTCCAAGGGTTTTTGCCAGAAACCTTGCACAAATTCTTTATTATAAAACACATAGTAGATACTCAATAAATATTTGCTAAGCAGAACACTGAAAACACCAGAAGTTGGCAGGGAAAGGAAGGCAGTTAGGCTCCTAGATTCTTCCCCCTGACAGGTGTATATACCTATTGTGGGGATGGACACACTAGACCATGGGAAACCCATGCCATTAAACATTCCAATGAAATGACGAACTCCCCATGCTCTGGCTTATGTTACCACGCACCCTGATGATAGTTTGGCTTCCATGTGACTTGTTTATAGAACGAGAATGCCAGCCAGGCCAACGTGATCGTGCCTACCTGCCTGCTCCGTTTCACGTGTAAATTCCCCCACTGGCATTCTGGCTTCCATAGATTGTCGCATCGAGCCCTCTGTGCCTTCCTCCATCGGGACAGTTTCTGAGCCTGTCAACCCGCTGCTGCCCAAGACCCAGCCCCAAATCCTGGCCAGTTCAGGAGCGTCTATGAGCCTGTGGGAGATCCAGTCAGCTCTCCGCCTCTACATTTCAGGGTGTGGGCTTCAGGGCATTCACAACATTCCTGCAACAGAAGAGTTTCGGGAACACCCCAAATTGGATCTGGGTGACTTGAGTATAATCTCAAGCAGGTATGTCGGAGATGTGGTTGTAACTGAGAAAGCTTAAGCCTAATTAATTTTATTCCACTTGACTTAAAGCAGGAACATGTGAAAGAAGGGGATCTGAGGACAGCTTTTCTACGGGGCCCCAAAAACATGAATTTCAGTGTTTCTCTGGTCCTGGTCAGAGGCCGGAGACAGTGACTCTGACGTCCACAAGCATGGCAGCGGCACGAGAGAGTCACTCTTTTGGAGGAAACAGAGAATTTGCTCCTCTAAAATCTGAATAGTTCTGTGACTTGGGAAAGTGATTAGCCCACTTTCAGCCGCAAGTTGACTTCGTGTTCAACAGGCAAGCTTCGGATGAATAGTCGGACCTCTCGGCCAGCTTTCATGAATCCTCTCCCTTGGAAATGGTACATGCCATTCTGGTTTATGCATCTATCTTTTATGAGTTTGGTTCACATGAGTCAGTCTTACGAATCTGGTCCATTGACCAAATTGAATTTCAAGTCGTGGAGAGTTGAGGATTAAACCATCCAACAAAGCAACCCCTATATTCACATCGCCAAACCTGTGACTGGATGAAGAATATTTACCTCATTGTATTCCTCAAACCACGTCACACCTCATTCAGGAAGCTGTTCTAGAGTATTCCTGCATGATGTTCTCTTTGGATGCCTCTGCTGGCCCGGAGGTCATTGACACAATCTTGCAAAGCAATTTACTTTCTTGGGGATCTTGGTTGTTAGAATATTTCTTAAACTGAAATTAAACTTGTCACTTCATAATGTCCACCTCTGGTTCTTTCACAAAAATAGAACAGATGTTGTATGTGTCTACGCTGCTGTCCTCCAAAATGAACTTGAGCACGATGGAGTTCAGCCCTCTCCCTATTGTTCCGAAAGCTTTTCGGTGTCTCTCTTGAGCACACAGTTCCTCCTCCCGCCCTGAATCTTGTCAGTCCATTTGCACTATTATTTCTGAGACCTAAGATATGAGAGCAGCCAAAATTTGTCATTTCTTTCAGCAGCTGCATCTCACTTTTGGCTCATACGCTTTGGATAAAATGGCTTCATCTCTGCGTTTCCCCTTCCCTTTGGATTTGAAGCTGTTGAAATGAGATACACGTCCATGAGGGTGTGGGTTTACTTCGGTGAACTTCTATCCCCCCCTTTGGTGAATGCTGTTCCCGTTCATTATGAGGGAGGGTCCTCTCAGCTTCGGACGAAGACACAGAGCAGTTTCAAGAAATCAGAACCGGGCCTCCCTGGTGGCGCAAAAGGTTAAGCACCACACTATGAAGCAGACCTGCAGCCTCTGCAGCACGAGTTCAACACCCGGCCGGCCAGGGAGCAACCCACATGGCCTGGCAGACCTCTCCTGTCTCGCCCGCTGCTCCCCTCAGCAGTGTGTGTATTTCAATCTGCCTGTTCTGCTCCCAGCTCTGTCTCTGGTGAATCCTCTCACCCCCTCATCTCTGGCCTGTACCCCAGCTCTTGTATGCATAAATAAATAAATCTTTAAAAAAAAAAATCAGAACCAAGCAGGGAATGAGTTTATTTTTCTTAGAAAGAAAAAAAAACTTCCATCTTCCTTTAGATGAGCTATCACTGGAGATCTGGGAAGGTGCTAAGTCATCTTTGCCCCCAAGCACCTGACACCTGGCAGGTAAAAGGCACTTTGCAGGGGCTTGGTGGATGAATTCAACTCTTGACAGATACTGAATTCACAGGGGGCTGGGCTGGGGGAGGGTAAGGAAGGGCGAAGAAAAGCTCTTTTGGCTGGAGGCTTCCTCCCCCTTCTTGTTCTCGAGTATATTGTATATACAGTAAAATAGTTTAAACAAACTTAGGCTGTAGCGACTGGAGCTCTCCAGAAGCTGCCTGCAGCGCCCCCGGGTGAATTCTGTCCCCTGGAATCCCCTGATTCACGCGCCCGGGCGGCTCGAGCGCTCGTTCATCTACTTGCTGTTAACTTGATCTCCACAAATCCATCCCTCCTGCCTCCCTACCCTCTCCCCCGGCCCCCCGACACCCTCACTCTCGACCCGCCACCCCCGAAAGGCCCCCTCCCGGCCCAGCCCGCGCCCCGCGCAGGTTCCCAGCGCCGGGTTCGCGGCTCTCCCGGGACAGGCGCGCCCCGGGACCGCGGCGAGGGGCCACGTGCGCGCCCCCCGAGGCGGGGAGCAGCCCTCGCGGCTCGGGGCTGTTGCCTGGTCTGCTGGTGAGGGATGCTCGTTTCCCCGAGGCTGCCCCTCATTAGCATGAGCGGGGGTGGGGGTGTGGGGAGGGTGGGGGAGAGAAAGCGCCCGAGCCCAGGCTGGGGTTCAGAGTCTGGGAGCGTGTCTACGAGAATGACAGCTCGAGCTCTCTGGCTGCTCTGTCTCCTCGTGGGATCCGCTCCCGAGGCCCCGGGGGCGGAGAGGAAAGGTAGGCTGGGGGCGCGGGGCGCGGGGCGCGGGGCCGGGGCGCGGGGGAGGCGCGATCCGGGGGGCCGAGCCGGGGTCAGCGCGCGCCCCGAGGAGCTCCCCGGTCTGCGCGGATGTTCTGCTCGAGAGGAGCAAAATGCGTCCCCAAGATTTTGTGTGTCTTGGCAGCCTTTTCGGAGAGGAGCCAGCCCCGCCACTGGAAGGCTCTCGGGCGAGCCGGGCGGGCTGGAGGAAACTTTGCATGTTAAGCAGCGGCCCCGGCGCCGCCGAGGGAAAGTGTCAGAAGGGGTCGGGGCGCCTTTCGGGAGCCGGGCGGCGGCTCGCGGGGTCCCCCGGGGACCCGAGCGCCGGGAGCGCGGCCGGGGCGGAGGGCGGGGAGCCGGGCTCGGACCTTCCCCCCTCGCCCTGCAGCCCCAGCAAATGCCTCGGGGCACCTGAGTCTTTAACCACCGGGTGTCCTGCCTGGCGGGGAGAGAAGCGACCGCGGGAGCGAGAAACCAGGGCTGCTCTGCGGGAAGGTGGTTTTGTTTGCCTTGGGCTTGGGTGTTTGGTTCACTATCTCTGGGAAAAACAGCTTCCGCACCTCGCGGTGCGATTGACTTTGGGTTATTTTTCCACAAGGAAATTGAATGACTTCAGTGGCATTTAACCCAAATATCAGGCAATCTTTCCCATGACAACAGATGGTGCTATCTATGGGGAAGCAGTTGGGAGGTCAGCAGTTGAGAGTCAGGAATTGGATCTCCACCAGGACTTTATTCAGCTGTGGATGGGACGACGTTGAGCAGAATGAGTCAGAATCAACCTCTGCAAAAACACGGACTGTAACCAGCTATTATTGTTGGGTGAAAGCTGATGTTGAAGAGGATTGTCCATTTGGCAAGATAAATCGCCTTCAATGAAGTGTGGCAAAAGTCGCCGATGGGCGGACCGAGCTCTGCAGCCCAAGAGGAGAGAAAATGCCGAAACGCAGCCGTTAAAACGGCAGCAAGAGAGTAAGAAGAGGCCGGTGCCCGTGCCCGCTTGGAGGGCTCTGGACCCGGGCAAATGGCAAGACGAGATTGTGTAACTGGGCATGGAAAGCTGCCCAGCTGCCAGTCTGGCTGAAGTGCGCTCCCCAACCTGTGTGCAAAGCTGGGGAAGATCATGAATAATTTTACAGATGATCTTTCGTGCCCTGCCTTGTAGGAGCTGCTTCTCCCACCATCAGAGGAGGAAAAAAAATGGAAGGGGATGTGTGGGCTTTTATAGTCAACCAGGGGCCTCCGCCTGCCAGGCAGGCTTTAAAAATCCTTCTTAGCTGGGGTTTACCAGTAAGTGGTGTCCAAGAAGCCAGATAAAAATCCACTCCCAAGTGCTTGATTCTGCAGACCCAGATGACAGTGTAAACACGGATGGGAAAACCAAATAGTTCTGTTGTCAGGGGCGCTGGAACAATTAGGACAACCTGTAACACGAGACCTCCCCCCCCCCCCCCCCGCCGGGGTTTGCTCTGGGTACTTTCTCAACAAACTGTAAATAGCAAAAAGGCGGATGTTTATATATATATTAAAGAAAGGGCAAAAAGAGTTTGTTATTGAAGCAAAGTTGTCAGAGATGTTTAGTCCTAGAACAAACAGGCTGTTGGGCTGGTCTGAGCCGCTCGTCTGAGAAGAGCCCTGAGCACAACGAGACGTTCCCATCGGGCCCCTGACTCTCACGTGCTGAGAAAAAAGGGTCTCAGCTGGCCTCGTTCTTGGGGGGCGAGCCCCTCAGCCCCCTCTTCCTTTGCGGCAGAAGGAAACAGGGCCGGGGCTCGGCCTTCTGGAAGCTGAGGCGGCGTGGCGCCCCCCCCCCCCCCGACAGGGGCGCCCTCCTCGCTAACGCCCGTTCCTCGCCCTCCAATTCCGGGCGTCCCGCCTCCCCCTCGCCCCTCGCAGGTGCAGTCCAGGCGCCCCAGGGCCGCCCCCTTCCCAGAGCCTCCTCCTCGCCAGCCCCTTGGGCCGCTCTGGCCCGAGGCGCTTCCCCGCACCCCCGGGGTCTCCCGCCCACGCCGGCCTCCCCCGGCCCCACCCCAGTCGCCTCCCCGCAGACGCCCCTTCCCCTCCGGCCTCTCTGCGCCCCCCCCCCGCTTCTCCCGCCCCCGGCCCCGGGGCCTCGCGTCTTCCCTCAGCTCAGCGCCCCCCTGACGGCCTCCCGGTCTCCCCTCTTGTCCCCACAGCCTCGCCGCCCCACAGCAGGAAGCCCGGCCCCGGCGGCGGCCCGAGCGCAGCGGAGACGCGGGGGCCCGGCGCGCAGCCCGTCCCCCAGGCCCCGCGGCGCCCGAGAGCGGCCGATGCCGCCCCCGGCCCCTGGCCCGACCCGCCGCCCCGGAAGCCCCCGCCGCCCGCCGAGAACCGCGCCGGCTTCCGGGAGGCCGCGCGCGCGCCCGCCGGCCCGCCGAGCCCGCGCCTCGCGCAGGCCGAGAACCGCCCGTCCCCGCGCCGCGCGCCCGCGCCGGAGGACGCCCGCGCCGCGCGCGCGCCCGGGCCCTGCGCTTTCCCGCCGCGCGCGCGCCCGCGCGCGCCCGCGCCGCCGAGGCCCCGCCCGGCCCCGCCCACCCCAACCGGCCGCGCGCCGCCGCACCGCCCCCGGGCCCGCGCCCGCCGCGCCGCGCCTCGGGCCTCCGCGGAGGAACGCGGGCCCCGGCGCCGAGCCCTGCGCGCGCGCCTGCGGGGCGGACCTGGACGAGCGCGAGGCCTACTGCGCCAGCGAGTTCGGTGAGCCCCGCCCCGCCCTCCCCCTCCCCCACCCGGCCGCCGCGAGCCCGTCCGAGCCCGTGCGAGCCCGTCCGAGCCCTCGGCGCGCGCGCGCGCTCGCGCGGACCCCCGCAGTCCACCCCCGCGCCCCGCCCGGGCACGCGCAGCGCAGGCCCCGGCCCCGTCGGGTGGGGGGGCGGGGGGAGGAACTGCGTGTCCCGCGTTTGTCCGAACTCTTTGTGTCTCGAGCAGCCGTGAACGGGATCGTGCACGACGTGGACACGCTGGGCGCGGGCGTCCGCCTGGTGACGCTGCTGCTGGCCCGGGACGGGCTGTACAAGATGAGCCGCCTGTACGTCGCCCCCGACGGCTTCTTCCTCCGCGTCCACCTGCTGGCCCTGGACGCCGCCGCCTGCGGCCGCCCGTGCCCGGAGCTGAAACCCGGTACTGGCGCGGCCCGACCCTTTGTCCCGGGTGCCTCCGCCTGTGAGCTGGAGGCCGCGGCCCGCGCGTCGGTCACCCCAGCGCCTTTGGGGGGGTTATAAAGCGAATAGAATTTAGACAGGCGTCGGCTCGGTCACTGTGATTTGAGCCCCACACCCCCTTCCGCGCCTCGGGTCGAGGACGGGCACGGCATGGGCACGGACGGGCACAGAACGGGCACGGGCGGGCACAGAACGGGTACTCTGTGGATTGCTGGCGAAGGACGAGAATACCGTTGACAGGAAAGAGCATAAGGGGGTCTGTTCAGAACTGAGCTTAGAAATGGCTTTTTGGGGGGTCGCGTAGGGAAGGGCACCCACTCCCGCGTCTTTCTAGCGAGATGGGGTGGAAAATCCTGCGGATACGCCGAGACTGCGTTTATTCTTTTCTGCTGGCTGCTGCTCTGGTGAGCCCCTGAGCGTCGCCAGCCTGTTTCCCTTGTTGTCTGCAACGTAAATGTCCGAGTCCCAACATGTACAACAGGATAATCAGACTTTTCTTGTATTATCTTGTTGTTTCCTGGCATGCGTGAAACTCTGCGGGTTTTTATTTCGTTACTTTTCAGGCAGCAGGTACATCGTGATGGGCACATCTACCATAAGAGACGGCAGCTCCCGACCTCTCTGCTCCAGGTCCTGAGAGGCCGCCTTCGACCGGGAGATGGACTGCTGAGGAGCAGCAGCAGCTACGTGAAGAGATTTAACAGAAAAAGGGATGGGCAAGTTCAAAGTGCAGTTCACACCCAATGCATTTGACACTTGCCGTCCTGGCATTTTTGGATCATCGGAGACTTGGAATTCAGCTACAAAAAAGGAAGGTCTATTATGGCGTAATGGGTTTCCCGTTAGAATAGGGCACACAGCGCCTTTGTGAACTCATTGCATAGTTAGTGCCATCTCTAACCTTGACGTCACCTTCTTCCTTACCAAATGGTTCTTAAATCGTGTGCTTCTCTGAGCTCTGGCGGTGCCTTATGCACATGGTTCAGATAACTGACCTGTCCAGTTAACAGATCACTGCTTCATGTTGTTTATTTTTAATTATTTTAATTTAAATACATTCTTCAGTAGAAATAGTTCACAAAACATTTCCTTGATTTAAAATATACAACTTTGAATAGTCTATATCACGTATCAAACCAAATTTATACTCAAAGCATCACATTTAAAATTCTGTACATATTGTTAAGTACACTAGGCAAAGACATGTATGAAATGTCATTTAGAGCAAACACTAGGGTCAGTGCCCAAGACAAGTATTAAAGTTTTACACTTAATGGACTTCATTCAAGCAAAAATTCAAACAAGTGTTCCTGCTGCACCAAAATGTAAGATAGTATTTCTTCTTGCTTTCCTGTCCTAAAAACTTACTTTTTTTTTTTTTTGGTGTGTGTGCGCTGAACTGGAAGCTGTCCCAATGCTGAACATTTTCTGGGTGTATCTGATGTCATCTTTCTATTAAGACCAAGTATCATGTTTGTGTTTGTAAAGAAGTAAATCATGACTTGAAATCAGATCTTGGATGCACCTGGTTTTTTTTAGCCTCATTGTGCCACAAAGGTTTGGGAAAAAGCCATTCTCAAACTTACTCCCCAAATCCTGGAACCAATATTCAATGACAGCTTGCAAGGATCTGAATTTTAAGTGCTTTCCAGTTGGTCTGAAACAGGTTTAATCACTAGCAGAATATAATATTGATTGGATACTGGAGTCCATTGACATGAACAACTTTTTCAGAAGTTAGTTTTACTGACCAGAGACACTGATAACCCCTACCTAGTTGAAGACTACTGTGTGGAAAAAAAAAGAAAAAAGTGCACTGAATAAAAAAACAACCTATTTGGTCTCAGGGAGAACCGATGCAGGCCACACGCAGACTTGAGTGGCCGCAAAAGCCAGGTACCAGGCAGGACGCTAGCAAATCTATCTGGAAGCATGTAGCAATTGCGAAGACTTAACGGCTGATTGACATGGGAGATACTGTTCCCTTGTTTGTCTCTAACAACAAACAGGCAAGTAAAAGTCAAGAAGTTTTGACTATTCTGTGGTAAACATTACTGAGGGAATTTTAGATAAGTTTCCAAAAATGAGTCTTGCACAAACTTATAGAAAAATCTCAGTGGAATTGCTTTGAGGGGAATCAACTACATCATTACACAAGTTATTGGTAGGAGCCAAGAGTTTGCAGCAAATGACGAGCTT